AAAAAAAAAAAAAAAAAAAAAAAGAACTCAAACTGAACATAGAACTACCCTCTGATCCAGTGATGCCATTCTGGGCATCTACCCAGAGCATTACAAGTTATGATACATTAAAGACACTTGCATATCCATATTCATTGCTGTAATATTCATAATAGCCAAGTTACAGAAACAGCCCAGCTGTCCTAAAACAGATGAGTGGATCGAGAAAGTATGGTATATATTCACAATGGAATTATCCTCATCCACTAGAAAGAATAATATGTCATTTGCAGGGAAATAGATGGACCTAGAACAAATCATGCTATGTAAGCCAGGCTCAGAGAGACAAATGACACATTTTCTCTCATATTGAAGCTAGATCTAAAATACAGCTATGAGGATAACATACATAGGGCTCAGTGCATTCACACACAGAGTTAAGGAGGGAACACTTAGGAGAGGAATCTGAAAAGTAACTCCTGAACAACTAAAAAACTGTTCATCAAAGTAAACATGAGGAAATAGGAATATGTTTTGGGGGGTGAGCAATGGGAGGAGATTGGAATGGAGGGAGGGTGAGCAATGCAGTCATTGTATTACATGTACGTCATGTTAAGATGAGCTATGTAACTTGAAGGTAGGGGTGGAAGGGGGGAAATGAGAGAGAAGGAAGGGGTGACACTGACTGAGAATCTGACATACGGAATTGTAATCCCTTTGTACAACCACTTAATAACAATAGGAATCATAATTTAAAAAGGAAAAGGAAACAAGGTCTCTACCCTAGAGGAATATAAAGCAGAACAGAGAACATAACTAGTCCCATTAAGTATTCTAAGATGCAGAATGGTCTGTTCTTAAGAGATACAATTAGCTAGCTATCCAAATAGGTAATCTAAAGGAAAGCTGGTTAGAAGTTTGCTTTTTCCTACTGTGGGTAGGCCAGTGGTGACACCAAAAATTTATGATGCACTGTACTCTCTTGGGAATTTGTTCCCAGGTTCTTCACTCCAAACCCCTGCCACCAGTACCCAAATCTGAGATGTGCATTTCCTTTACAAAGGATAAGGTATTTTGCAAATAACATCAACATTGTCCTAAATACTTGAATGTGTGTCTAGGTTGCTTATTTACACTTAATCTGCTAGTTCTAATTTAATAGCTGTTCGACTGTATTCTGGGAACTAATTAATGATGAGGAAAGAAATTTGTAACTTTCAATATAGACTTTATTTTTTCCAGTGCTTGGGTTAGAACACATTGCTTTACCTACGCAGATGCTCTGCTTTTGCCACAGCCCCATCCTAATTCTGTTTTACAATTTTCATTCCATGGTTAGTAGAATGGTTGATGGTAAACTCTCAGGCAGTTAACAGTTTTTCAGAGCTTGGTTGCAGAGGTGTTTGCTGCTCTGTAATTACCTCACAGCATCTCTGTATTTTTCAGTAATGGCTATGAAGATGCAGCTCGAAGCAAATGCAGATGCTTCAGTTGATGAAGAAAGCTTTGGACCACAGCCTATTTCACGGTTGGAGGTATGTCCTTAGTTGCTAATTTTTCAGTTATAAAGACTATTAACTTTACATAAACTATAGATTTACTAAAACTCAAATTTTGGTTTAAGGACGTTATCACGGCTCCTATGCAAAAGGTGTAGGATTGTTGCTGTGTTTAGCTAGCTCTCTTGCACTCCTTTTTGGTATGAGTGTTGATATTGGGGCTTAAACTCAAGGCTGGCACTCTACCACTTGAGCCACACTCCACTTCTGGCTTTTTTCTTTTGGCCAGTCCTGGGCCTTTAACTCTGGGCCTAGGCCACTGTCTGTAAGTTCCTTTTGCTCAAGGCTAGCAATCTACTTCTTGAGCTACAGCATACTTCCAGCTTTTTCTGTGATTAATTGGCGATAAGACTCTCGTGGACTTTCCTGCCTGGGCTGACTTCAAACTACAATTCTCAGATCTCAGCCTCCTAAGTAGCTAGGATTACTGGCGTGAGATACTGGTGCCAGACAATTTCTGGCATTTTTTGCAAGTTAATTGAAGATGAGAATTTCATGGCTTTTTCTGCTCAAAGTTTTGACCCTCTTTCCTCAGCATCCCAAGTAGTTGGGATTACAGGCAGGTACCACCACATCCTTGTTAAAGCAAGAGCCATCTACTCTTCGTTCTAAAAAGGGGAGAAGGGGAAGGAGGTATTTATGTACCAAAATTTTGCTTTTCTTAGCTCCAGGGCAGCCATCTGTGCCAGCATAATGTAAAATAACATTTTCTTTGTGCTTGATGTAGAGAGGGTTGGATAAAACACTGGTTTACAGTAGCTACAGTAGTAGTATCAAAGAGTATTGTGATATACCATCAAAAAAGTGAGCCACGGGGCTGGGAAGGTAGCTCAGCGGTAGAGTGCATGCCTTGTAAGCATGAGGCCCTGGGTTTGATTCCTCAGCACCACATAAACAGAAAAAGCCGGAAGTGGCGCTGTGGCTCCAGTGGTAGAGCGCTAGCCTTGAGCTGAAGAGCTGAGGGACAGCACCCAGACCCAGAGTTCAGGCCCCATGACCAACAAAAAAAAAAAAAAAAAAGGTGAGCCAGGTGCTAGTGGCTCTCACCTATAATCTTAGGTACACAGAACTAAAATCTGGGGATTACAAAGCCAGCCTTGGGAAGGAAACTCCTCAAGCCTCTTTACCTCGAAATAACCAGCAAAAAGCTGGAAATGCAGCTGTGGCTCAGGTGGTAGAGTGCCACCTTTGAATTCCTAATAAGAGTCCATTTTCATATGCATGGTATAACATTAGGTTAAAACTACTGGCTTTTGCCAGGTGCCCATTTCTCACACCTGTAATCCTAGCTACTCAGGAGGCTGAGATAAGAAGGTTGTGATTCAAATCTAGCCTGGGTAGGAAAGTCCATAAAACTCTTTATCTTCATTAACTACTAGAAAGCTGGAAGTGGAGCTGTGGCTCAAAGTGATAGTGAAAAAAGTCCAAGGACAGCACCAAGGGACTGAGTTCAGGCCTCAGTACTGACACAAAAACAAAAAATACCTAGTTTTGTTTTTAAATCTTATTTTAGTTTTTTGTCAGTCATGGGTCTTGGGCTCTGGGCCTGAGCGCTGTCCTTCAGCTCACGCTAGTGCTCTACCACTTGAGCCACAGCGCCACTTCAGTTTTCTGGTGGTTTATTGGAGATGAGAGTCTCATGGCCTTTCCTGCCTGGGCTGGCTTTGAACCTCAGTCCTCATATCTCAGCCTCCTGAGTAGGATTACAGGCGTGAGCCACCAGCACCTTGCTTACCTTCTGTTTTCAATAATGAAAACGCTAATCATTTGCCTCATGTGAGCACACTTCTTAGAGCTTTAATGCATAATTCTTTAAATACCTCTGAAATAGACCACATAGTATCTGTGTTAGATAAAATATATTTATATCTGATTTTTTTTTTCTGATTTTCTTTTCTAGCAATGTGGCATAAATGCCAATGATGTGAAGAAATTGGAAGAAGCTGGCTTCCACACCGTGGAGGCTGTGGCCTATGCACCTAAGAAGGAGCTCATAAATATTAAGGGGATTAGTGAGGCCAAAGCTGATAAGATTCTGGTGAGTACCACTTGGTGACCTAGGAGAATTAATGGGAATCATACAAAAGGTTGGAAGGTAGTTATTTTATTCTTCATTTTCCTCTCATCCTCACTTTTTTTTTTTTTGCCAGTCCTGGGGTTTGAACTCAGCCTGGGCACTGTCCCTGAGCTGCTTTTGCTCAAGGCTAGCACTCTACCACTTGAGCCTCAGTGCCACATCTGGCTTTTTCTATTTCTGTGGTGCTGAGGAATCAAATCCAAGGCTTCATGCATGCTAGGCAAGCACTGTATCACTAAGCCACATTCTCAGCCCTCGAGCCACATTTCCACCCTCTCCCACCGGGACCAACAATCACTAGCTGCCCAGGTACCAAAAAATTATGCCTCCAAAATCCGTTGATGTCGATTCTGCCCGCAGAGCAATCAAGTTGCCCTACGTGTGCCACTCATGGCAGAAGCCCTTTTTTTTGGAGCCACATTTTTAGTTCTAGCTTTTTGCTGGTTATTTAAAGATAGTGTCTTGAATTTTCCCACCCAGGCTGGCTTTGAACCATGATCCTCAGATCTTAGTTTCCTGAATTAGCTAGGATTGCAAGCATGAGTCCACAGAACCTGGATATGTATTTAATTTTAGTTACATGAATATATGACTTATGAATTTAAAAATTGATCTTAATTGATTCTGAATTAAATTATTTCTTGTGATAAGAAATTTTAAAGAGAAATCATTTTGCAAATGTTTTTTTGCCAGTCCTGGGGTTTGAATTCAGGGCCTGGGCACTGTCTCTGAGCTTCTTTTGCTCAAGGCTAGCATTCTACCACTTGAGCCTCAGCACCACGTGTATATGGTATTGAGGAATTGAACCCAGGGCTTCAGGCATGCTAAACAAGCACTTTACCACTAAGCCACATTCCCAGGCCACAAGTATGTTTTTTAGTTCTAGCTCCCACATGCGTGAAAGCATGATGCCTCATGGTTTGAGTTTGGCTTGTCACTCAGTTAAGATCTTAATTACAGGCTGGGAAGGTGACTCAGTGGTAGAGAGCTTGCCTTGCATGCCTGAGGCCCTCGGTTTGATTCCTCAGCACCACATAAGCAAAATTAAAAAAGCCGGAAGTGGTGCTGTGGCTCAAGTGGTAGAGCGCTAGCCTTGAGCTGAAGAGCTGAGGGACAGTGCCCAAGCCCAGAGTTCAGGACCCACGACTGTACCAAAAAAAAAAAAAAAGATCTTAATTACATCTATTTTCCTTCAATAATAAGCTTTAATTTTTGTGTCTGAGTAAAAGTCCATAGTAAATATGTATATACTATATGTGTACTAAGTCTTTATCCATTCATTTTTTAATGATGGCTTAATGCCATCACTTGGCTGTTATGAATGGTACTGCAATGAACATGGATATGCAGGTGTCTTTTTTGTGTATTCATTTAGTCTGCTTGGGATATATGCTCAATCCTGGTTTAGTGGGTCATAGGGGAAGGTCTAATTTTAGTCTTTTTTTTTTATGGCTGGTCATGGGGCCTGAACTCTGGGCCTGGGCGCTGTCCCTCAGCTCTTCAGCTCAAGGCTAGCGCTCTACCACTTGAGCCACAGCGCCACTTCCGGCTTTTTTCTTTTTGCTTATGTGGTGCTGAGGAATCAAACCCAGGGCCTCGTGCATGCAAGGCAAGCACTCTACCACTGAGCCACCTTCCCAGCCCTCATCATTTGTTTTGGTTGCTGTTTTTAATGGCTGCCATTCTGACAAGGGTAGTATAGAATCTTATGTGGTTTGATTTACATTTCCTTTATGGCTGAGAGTGTTGAATATTTCATAAGTCTATTAGTCATTAGTATTTCTTCTGAGAACTTGTTCAGTTGACTTTTTCCCCTAGGCTGAGGCAGCTAAATTAGTTCCGATGGGTTTTACCACTGCAACTGAATTCCACCAGAGGCGGTCAGAGATCATCCAGATTACTACTGGCTCCAAAGAGCTTGACAAACTACTTCAAGGTATAGTAGTCCCTATCCTATGTTATGAGCTCTAGGTAGCCAAGCGTGCAGGCATAGAACAATGTTTGTGTAGGAATTCCATGTGGTGTAGGAGTTCCATGTGGTTAAGATTAAAGTAAGGGCAGTGTGAGCCTTGATGTAGGAAGACTACTACGGGGACTTGATGTTGAGTATAGCCTCCTATACTGCAAGGTTGACAGTGTCATGAGAGAGAGAGAGAGAGAGAGAGAGAGAGAGAGAGAGAGAGAGAGAGAGAGTGTGTTTCTGGTGAATAAACTCAGGGCTCCTGCACTCAACCCTAGATCTTTCCATCTTTGAACACTGTTCATTGTGTAGTACAAAAGAGTCCAACACTTTTTATCTTTTGAAGTATTAATTTATGACAACTGCTTTCCTAGTTATTTACCATTCGTCCTTTCTGGTATGTTTTGTGGGGTTTTTTTTGTGGGGGGGGGTCAGTTGTGGGGCTTGAACTCAGGACCTAGGCATTGTCTCTTGAGTTCTTTTTTCTCAAAGCTAGTGATCTACCACTTTGAACCGCAGCACCACTTCCTGTTTTCTTGGGTCTCACAGACTTCTCTGCCTTTGCTGGCTTTGAACCGCAGTCCTCAGATCTCAGCCTCCTGAGTAGCTAAGGTTGCAGGCGCGAGCCACCAGCGCCCGGCTTTGGATTCTGTTGTGTGTTGGGGCAGGGGATGTGCAGGCCCTAGGGTGCAGTCCCTAAGCTCTTTGTGCTCAAGGTTAGAACTCCAGCTCCACTTTTGGCTTTTTGGTGCTTAATTGGAGTTACAGAGCCTCAGACTTTGCTTACCAGGCTGGTTTGGGACGGCAGTCCTCAGACTCCAGCTTCTTTAGTAGATTACAGATTTAAGCCCCTGCTGCACAACCTGCTTTTTTTTTTTTTTTTGAGACTAGCTTCAGTTGGCCTTGACTTCTCACTCTTCCTGCCTCTGCTTCTCAGATACTTGACTTACAGGTGTGAACAACACACCCAGCGTAAAATTTGTTTTTGGCTAGGCGACAGCCCTACCCCTGAGCCACATGCACAGCCCTCCCTTGCCAGTTTTCTGATAGTGGTACTAACACACATATTGACAATCTGAATGTTGTATAAGCTGGTGACTAGCACTGAACCTTTTGTACATTTCTTTGCTTCTTGGCAACGTTCTCTAAATCATTATTTCAAAATAATTTTTTTTTTTTTTTTGGCGAGTTCCTGCCTGGGGCTTGAACTTCTCAGGGCCTGAGCATTGTTCCTGAGCTGCTTTTGCTCAAGGCTAGCACTCTACCATTTGGGCAACTGCGCCACTTCTGGCCTTTTCTGTGTATGTGGTACTGAGGAATCGAACCCAGGGCTTCATGCATGCTAGGCAAGCACTCTACCACTAAGTTACATTCTCAGCCCCTCAAAATATCTTTCTGATAGTCTCAAGAACATTGCTGTTATTTTATAGTTTCTCAATATGTTGTACTAAAAAGTGCTTATTTTGTTTTTAGGTGGAATTGAGACTGGATCTATCACAGAGATGTTTGGAGAGTTCCGAACTGGGAAGACCCAGATCTGTCACACGCTGGCAGTCACTTGTCAGGTGAGCCAGAGGCTGGAGCAGGGGTAGATGGTTCCTGTTGTTCACAAGCACCTGTTAGAATGACATTCAAGGCACTTTCTCCCTCCTGAGACTCTTATAGCTAGTTACAACATAGATTCCTAATACTTACATTCCTAGGCCTTCTCTAACTTCACCTGACTTGCCTCGTTGGTTCACCCTCTTACATGCTTCACTGTTAAAGGTTAGAAATCACTCAGATGCTCACTTGAAGAGGTGTCAGCCTTAGATGAACCTTGTCTCCTTAGTGCCTATACTAAGAAGATAAGACCCTGGTCATATTTAAGAAAAACCTTGCTGGGAAACTGATTGGTAACACATTTTCAAGGCCGAGGACTGAACCAGGGCCTCAAGCATGCTAGGGAAATACGCTACCAGTGAGCTAGTTTCCCAGACTGAATTTATTCCCATAAATTCAATGACAGTCTCTAAATTAGCCTTCAGCACCTCCTCATTACGTTTTTCCCTCTAGGTAGACTTTCCTATTGAGACAAACGTCTCATATTTGTCTTCTGACTTGAGATTTTATATTCCTTTTCAGCCTTCACTCTTCACATCAAATCCATAAATCCATCTGCATTTATGCCCATCTTATCTCGAATTACAATGGGGAAATGTCCCTTTCCTTTCTGTACCTGTGTGGTGGTCTTACTCTCCTGCCTCCTCTGTACAGATTCCAATATAGCTAGGAAACATGCCTTCTCTGGGCCTGTCCAGTTCTTCATCTTTTACTTATACCACTGTTCATGGGCTAGGAAATAGACACTCTGGTTATGTAGCTGCCTGATAAAAATATATAAAGTATATGTAAGTAACATACAGAAATCAAATCAAAGACAATGGTCTTAGAACCTTCATAAGATTTTGAGCTTGTTTTCTGCTGTATTGCTAGAGGGTAAGTCAGTACTTGGCACTCAGTAAATACTCAAAATAGTCCTGTTTTGTTTTTAGTTTTTTGCTTTTGAGAGACTCTGTGTAACCCAGGCTGGCTTGACACTTGAGGTCTTCCCATTTCAGCCTGCTGAGTGGCTAGAATTACAGGTGTGATCCACCACTGCCTGGCTGAACTTCAAATTTAGATATGATAGAGTGGGGGTGAAAATCTCCTCTAAAAAATGGTTTTAAAACTCTGAGTGAAAAATGCCTGGGAGTGATTGTTGAATTTGTGTGTTCACCTGTGGTGCTAGGGATTGAACCTGGGGCCTCACTGTATTTCCCATCATGCCTTCTCTACCGTGCCATATCCTTACACCATCTAGCACTGGTCTTTCATGGTTTCATAAGGGATCTACGTTGCCCAGGTTGAACTTACGCGCTTGGCCCAAGATCATGTTCATGCTCCAGCTTCCTGAGGTCCTGACACTGTCAGCTTTGACAGGCTGATGTAACAGTGTGGAGGGGCGTGGGGCTAAATCACACAGAGAAGAGAGAAACCTCCGGAAAAGTGAGAAAAGATGCAGAAAACAAACCCACGAATGCTTCCCTGCTTGGCAATTTCTACCAGGGCTCTGCAGGGCACTCTCCTTTTTCTGAGTGGACCCTGACTTTGTCAGTGGCCAGTCCTCAGCTGACCTGGAACCTGCAACTTTTTGTTGAAATATTTTGGGCCAAGGGCTCTTGGCTCATACTTGTAATCCTAGCTGCCCAGGAGGCTACGAGAGTTGTAATTTGAAGCCAGCCTGGGGAGGAAAGTTCCTGAGGTTTGTTTCATTTTTTTTTTTTTTTTTTGGGTCCAGTCGTGGGGCCTGAACTCTAGGTCTGGGGCGCTGTCCTTCAGCTCAAGGCTAGCACTCTACCACTTGAGCCACAGCACCACTTCTGGCTTTTTGCTTATGTGGTGCTGAGGAATCGAACCCAGGGCCTCATGCATGCAAGGCAAGCACTCTACCACTGAGCCACCTTCCCAGCCCCCTGAGGTTTGTTATCTTCAGCAAAAAGCCAAAAATGGAGGTATGGCTTGAGTGGTAGAGCACTAGGCTTTAGCAACAAAGTCAATGAAAGTGCAAGGTCTGGTTCAAGCTCCCATACTGGAACAAATTTTTCTTTTAAAGTGTGTGTGTGTGTGTGTTTGTTTGAAGGGGCATTGTTTTCATCTAGCAGGGCTTCACTCATGCTAAGCAAATTCTCTACCACAAAGGCACCAAAGGACTGTAAGAAAATAAACAGAAGACACTGTATGAAAGGAAATGTACTTATTACCATGTAATTCTAATCCCCCTGTACATCACCTCTATAACAATAATAAAGTCAGTGCTAAAAATAAAAAGTACCTAAGGATACACTTTTTAGTGGAGTTCAATAACTGAAATGAAGCCGACTTTATCAGTATGATAGTTTGATGACAAATACAATTTTTTTCGCTTTTGTGTTTTTTCCGTATAAGACAAGGACCATTTTTCATAATATCTTCTTAAATTGTACTTTATCCCCTTGTGTGAGTGTGTGTGTCAGTGCGTCAGTATGTCAGTGTCAGTCATGGGGCTTAGGGCCTGGCACTGTCCTTGAGCTCTTTTGCTCAAGCCTAGTGCTCTACCACTTTGAGCTGTGGCGCTATTTCTCATTTTCTGGTGGTTAATTGGAGGTAAGAGACAGACTTTTCTTGCCTGAGCTGGCTTTGAACTGTGATCCTTTGATCTCATCCTCCTGCGTAGCTAGAATTGCAGGAGTGAGCCACTGTTGCCTGGTCCCTAATTGTTTTTGCAATATTAATGTATTCCTATGTTAATAGGTAAAAGAAGATAGGTCAAAAAGCATGACTTTTATGCCAGTTCTGCGGCTTGAACTCAGGGCCTAGGTGTTAGCCTTAGGCAAAAGAAATTCAGAAACAGTACCCAGGCCCTGAGTTCAAGCCCCAGGACAGACACAAAGAAAAAAAATCACAGCATGTGGAGCAAGCAGAAACCCTATTGAGATCCAAGTCTTAGTGGTTTAAATTCATTGTACATTTATGATAAAACATTCTGTAATTTTCTGGCCAGGCATAGCAATGCATACTTCTAATGCCAGCACTCAAGAGGAAAGCAGGAGGTCCGTGGGGAGAGGCTAGCCTGCGCTATAAACCTTGCCTCAAACCACTATAAAGATACAAAAATGAGCAGAAAACCATTCAATTTTGTGCCAGTGACCATGTGTGTCTTGTTTAAAGTTTGGCTCTTAAATCTAGTTTAAAAAAAACCTGAGGGTTGGGAATGTGGCTTAGTGGTTGAGTGCTTGCCTAGCATGCATGAGGCCCTGGGTTTGATTCTTTAGTACCACATAAATAGAAAAAGCTGGAAGTGGTGCTGTGGTTCAAGTAGTGGAGTGCTAGCCTTAATAAGCAAAACAAGCTCAGGGACAGAGTTCAGGCCCTGAGTTCACGCCCCAAGACTGACAAAAACAAAAAACCTGACAGACTTCCTGTGTAACCCAGACTGGCTTCTTTTTTTTGTTTTGTTTTTGTTTTGGCTGGTCGTGGGGCCTGAACTCTGGGCCTGGGCGCTGTCCCTCAGCTCTTCAGCTCAAGGCTAGCACTCTACCACTTGAGCCACAGTGCCACTTCCAGCTTTTTCTGCTTATGTGGTGCTGAGGAATTGAACCCAGGGCCTCATGCATGCAAGGCAAGCGCTCTACCACTGAGCCACCTTCCCAGCCCCAGACTGGCTTCTAATTCAATCTTCTGCCTGCGTGCCCAAAAAGCATGTGGTTTTAAAACTTCGTATAAAATAATTCTAGTACTTTGAACAAGCATTAGCTACTCATTTTTGAAACCTAATTGTGTATGTTCAACATTATATAACTTACTTAGAGTTATAACTTACAGCATTATAACTTATTAGAGGTCTAAAGCACAGTGAGTGAGGTTTCGTTATAAATGAGAAAAGCTGGACAGGGAGAGTAGGTAATATTTACGTTACTTAAATCTAATATCCTCTCTGTATCTCTGGTTCCAGCTCTTAAGACTGGTGGAATGTAATCCTTTCTATTATGAACGAATTACCAGTCTTTAAAAAAAGTCCCAACGATCTAGTTTTCTGCACCTGAGAATGTTACTTTATAAAGAGGCTTCATTTGAGATTTTGCCTTATTTTACTGTTAAAGAGGATTATGTGATTACCACATTCTCAGGCTAGGATTCTATTTGTACAACTTCACAGCACCACTGTGATATGCTAAATTGTCATGGAAGTGAGGATAATGTGCTGTATCCTAAACGGTCTCTAGGAATACCTGTAAAACATGGAAGGAAGCATTTCTGTTTTAAAGGTCACATTTAATGACATGTCAGGGTGATTTTTTTTTTTGAGACAGTGTTACACCATGTTGTCCACACCCGTAGTAAGCTCTTGAACTTCTGCCGAGCACTAGGAATGCAAGTGTGTACTGCTATTCCTGGTTAAAAGTTTAAGTTTTGAGCTGGACACCCATGCATCACACCTGTACTCAGGAGGCTGAGATCTGAGGAAGGCACTTGGGAGACATCTGTGAAGTAGAGCTATGGGTCAAGTGAAAGAGAGCTTTATATGATTTAAATTATTTTAAAATAATCTCATAATTGAATTTAACTGTTTGCAGAAGTGGAACCATACACATACGTTTTTCACTGATCCAATTTCCTAGCCCTAGTGTTTTGTTTTTTTAAAACAGGCTCTAAAGATAGTGCCTAGTGGCTCATACCTGTAATCCTAGCTATTCAGGAGGCTGAGATCTGAGGGTTGTGGTTCAAAGCCAGCCCAGGCAGGAAAGTCAGTCAAACTCTTATCTCTACTAAACCACCAGAAAACTGGTAGTGGCACTGTGGCTCAAGTGGTAGAGTGAAGAGCTGAAGAACAGTGCCCAGGCCCACAGTTGAAGCTCACGACCGACCCCTCCACCCCCCCAACAAAATGTAAAAATGAATTATGGCTCCAAAGTAGATTTCTAGAGTAGAAAAATCCTTTAGAATCTTCAAATTTTGAAGCTGAACTAAAAGATCTATATGAAATGTATAGCCTTTCAGGACTGGGAATGTGGCTCAGTGGTAGAGTGCTTGCCTAGCACGCATGAAGCCCTGGGCTTGATTCCTCAGTACACAGTGGTGCTGTGGCTCAGGAGCTAGAGTGCTAGCCTTGAACAGAAGAAGCTCAGGGATAGCGCCCATGCCCTGAGTGCAAGCCCCACGAACTGAGGAAAGAAAGAAGAAATAATGTTTTCCTTTTCTTCATTTTTACATCTAATATACTATTTGGAGGAAATAACCTTTTGTTGTTGTTTTTCCTCTAAATTTGCTACAAATGTTTTTGGGGCATTGGCAAATCTCTTTACAAGCACTCAGGAATGCTTTGCTTAATAAAGTGAAGTTTATAGACAGGCTAAAATTAATGATTGGATTAGCATACCTTTTTGGTTAAACCTAAAATAAATGGTCTTTTACATATTTGTATTCTTGATCAGATTTCTGTTGAATTTTATCTTGATCTTTGGATGGGATTGCTAAGTGGTCCATCTTTGACCAGGCCAGCTGTAGGTACTATGAGGTACATTGTGCTTCATGTCTGCTACTAAGGTGTATTTCTAACTGAATGCCTCTTTTTGTTTGATTGTTACTTGCTTTCTTTTTACTGGGAATGGAGGAATTATGGCCTTATTATGAAGGCTTGGGTCAACTATGTCAAAAGTGACTGTTTCTACTGTTCCTTTTTCTCTAGCTTCCCATTGACCGTGGTGGAGGTGAAGGAAAGGCCATGTATATTGACACGGAAGGTACCTTTAGGCCAGAACGACTGCTAGCAGTGGCTGAGAGGTAGGTTACTAAATTAGATGAGAGATTGCTTCACCCGTCAGTGTAGTAATCCCTAAGATTGGTTTGGCTATAAAAATCTCATGCATTATTCTACATCAGAAAGTTACGGAGTGACTCAAAAGTGGTTTCTTTATAGTGAAGACCTTTTTTGGTGCCAGTGCTGGGGCTTGACCTCGGGGCTTCTTGCTCGTGGTGTACTTGTGAGCTCATGGCTTGCCTTTTATCACTTCTCCACTTCCAGCTTCGTGCTGATTCGCTGGAGTAGCAAAGATTTGTCTGACCAAGCTGGGTTTTGGTGGTGGTGGTGGTGGTGGTGGTGGTGGTGGTGGTGGTGGTGGTGGTGGTGGTGGTGGTGGTG